TCTCTCGTAGCCGATCCTCCGTCGCGTCTTTTCGCACGAAGACCCGCCGACAGATTTGGCCGGTGTCCAAAATCGCGTGGCCCCTGTCTACCTCCCGCGCTTCTTCTCGTCCGCTTTCCCATCTCGCTCGCATCCCGGTCTCCCTTAGAATAACTCGGAGGTGACCGTCTCCGCTAACGGACCACCGCCATCGGCCCCGTGTATCGGCTGACCCAGGAAGAAGTTAGCAGGCAGTTGCACCGCGACTCCCTCTCGATACGGGCGTCGACGTCGTTCGACTCTCGTTACGCAATTAAATGCTCGTGCCAGCCGATCCGATCAAACGGAACCAGAAGATCCCGGCGGATCGAAGAACCTTGCTGTAGCGATCATGCAATTCGATCGTCGCCGCCGAGCCGTATCTCGCGCGATCGTTTTCGAAGCTGGCTGCTTCTCTCGTTGCTAAGGACCCCACGCGACCGGTTATCTCTCGCTGGACAGGGTGGTCGATATCGATCCGGAGTATCCGTAAAATTCCCTGGCCTGCCAGTTCTTACAAGATTCCATTTCGACGAAGAGAATATCGGAATAGGATTCGTGACTCCTGAACATCAATAATGACTACGGTCTCGTGCGTAGAGAGATATTTTTCTCCTTGCTATGTGTAAGGGATCGTAGTGTTCAGGCAAGAGTGTCCAGGAAAATTATGCCGACGACACGATAATCGAAATTGAGCCGACTCGAGGATAACATACTATCGGGATGCCGTCGGTACCGACCACCACGTACTCTGGCGCGATATCGCCAGATATCGACAACTCGCAGACCTTTGAAGAATCCTCTACCGGCAAGATGCTGGCCGGTAGAGCCACCATCGATTCCAGCAGCACGATCATCGAGAATTCGAGGAGGCTCCTAGAGCCGTTGATGTCCGCGAGAAGACCACCGTTGCCACCTTTCAGAAGACCGGTCAGCAAATTGCACACGTTAGGCCTGACGAGGAGTCCATCACCATGTAGCTTCTCGTCTAGCCTGTCTTGTCGCTCGATCAGATCGATGTCCGTCGTGTCCTCAAGACCTCGGACGAGCATCGATTCACCGACCTTCTCCACTCCTCCAAGAAGAATGTTTCCTCTAGCGGCTGCTTTGGACCCGATGGAAGATCTGTCCGTGAAAGAACAGGCTCCCGTAGTATTCGACGCTAGTTTGAATTTCGTGTTAGGCTGCGACAAGCAAAGAGTCAAGCAGTCGTTCAGGCCAACAGCTTCCCACATGGAGCCGTCGACTGCTTCGTCTTATTTGTCGTCGAAGATCTCGCAGTTCCTCAAAAGGACCGATCACATAATGGACGAGTGGCGAAGCATGGGCCACAGAGACGACGCGGATAACGACTTAAATCTGGCATCGATGACCCGGTGTAACGAGAGATGCGGCATGGGTAGAAGCCAGAGCGCCACGAATATCATGATCAGAGGTTATCAGTATTACAGCAGGTCGAACAGCATCGGGAAAAACTCAAGGCGTTCCCTTTCACGTACCTCGGACGACAGGACTCTCTCCGACGGTGTTGGTCAGGTGGTATATTTCCTGTTTCGCCTGGGCTCGGAGAGTTTGTTTCTAACTTTTATTTAATTAAGCCTTTCTTTGGTTTTTTTTTTTCTTTTAAACAAAATTCGAAATTTACTTTCTAGTCGCGAAGAAATGTGATGATTTAGAAAAAAAGAGAAGGGAGACCTTCATCTTGCGACTTATTTTACGATTACACGCTTATAAATTATAAAGCAATGAATACGATTTTCAATGTTAGGAGTTGAAATGAAAGTTTGAAGTTATGACGAAAAATTCATTGCATAGCGATTCGCGAATGTGACTGGACACCGGATTAATTCGATGACTCGTTTATGTATCTGTGTCGTTTTTTCGGCTTTCAGTCATCTTAAACCTCCTATCGCATAACAAGTTTTGTAAAAGAATAAAATAAAAGACGATTGATGTCAAGTACGCGAGATAGCAAGAGAAGAAAAAGTAAAAGGTTCCAGAGTCATACGATCACGCAAATCAATTTTCCAAGTTGTTCTCCTTCACGCATAACCGATCAAGAGTATACTAGCTTTTCTAAACATTCTCCCCCTAGTACAATCTTTACAATCATTTGTGTACACATTGGAACTCGTTTTGTTCAAATTAAACAGACATGATCTCAGCGTCGAAGAAACACTATTAAATTTGATTTTCTAAAGTACTAAAACATACCATGCTGATCTGTATTAGACCACCCATTGACATTTTATCATGTTCACTTGTTTTCGAGTAATATTAGCTTTTGATACTATATTTAATAGGGAGGCTCTGGAAATACGTCTGTAAATATCACGTTCGTTTTAGAGCATGGGATGAAGTTGCAAATTCTGATGCTATAGCCTG